AAAAAAAAAAAAAAAAAAAAAAAAAAAAAAAAAAAAAAAGACATCCACGGAATGCCGAAACAGCAACTGCAAGCACGGTAACCGTAAAACCGTGTCTGTCAGCTTCCTCAAAAGGAAAGATCTTCCTCACAGCTTCTTATGAACACGAGAAAGAATCTGATCCTAAAACCAGAATAAGCGGCTCCCTCCACAACTCTCCAAATGTTTAAAATGAGAATGAATCTTCCGCTAGAACATGGAAGTCTACGCAGCCGTATTTTTTGTCTTTTGTGCATGTGGAGAGTAGTGGAGCGAGGCCGTAAGTTAACTACCTACCGTAAGACCTCGACTGGCCTCCACTGTGCAACACTTCTTTTAACAAATTAACACCGTCAAAATCCATAACACCACGTGCCACAAGAACAATAAATGGTTAGCAGTCCACCTCTTTCCCCCGAACACAACCCACCCTCATCATGCAATGCACAGGAGAGGAAAGAAAGATTGATCGTCATCATCACCATGATCAGGGTGCGTTGTGCAAGCCTTAGGGAGGAAGACAGCAGTTATAGGAAATACCATGGGCGCTTTGCACCAGTTATCCCAATCGGGATCCCGTCCCTTCTTCATATTGGAGGGAGTGCATACCCCCAATTCCCGCTGGCGCCTGTCTCAGGAAACTCGCCGAGAGGTCCAATCTTTTTTTTTTTTTTTTTTTTTGCAAAAAGTAAGACGCATTCCACAATGCAAACACATCCTTTGGGACATCCGTTAAAATTGGAACGATACAGAGAAGATTAGCATGGCCCCTGCGCAAGGATGACACGCATAAATCGAAAAATGGTCCAAATTTTATTTTATTTAAAAAAAAAAAACAAAAAAAAAAACAACGCAAAAACATAATGAGTCACTGCGTCCATCGCGACTACACCCACCCGTTAGGGGAATGCCCTCCCACAAGCTTCTTCGTGCGAGACTTCCCGAATGCCATTTCAACCCTCAGCCTCCTCGACAGACTGAAAAGTAGAAGAACTCTGAAGAAGCGAAGCCGGGAAACTTCGGGAAAGATTTTAATAAACAGATTATAATCTTATTATAAGAAAGAGTTAAGTAACAAACGCGGGTAAAGAGCGAGCTACAGCTGTCGCTCCCCGCAATATACGAAGAAGCCTCCGCAGAAAAACAAGGAAGCAGACAATGAACTCCGGCTGGTGGGTAACCGACCATGGAGTGGAGTGGCCTCAGGCTGCTGCTCGAACTCGGAGATTAACGAGTAATGAATGTGCAATTGTCGTGAAAAAAAAAAAAAAAAAAAAAACCTCGGAGATTGCACCCAAAAATAAATACTTCAAAAAATAAGGAAAACGAACAGAGCTGGAGACTTATATCCGGCGTTCGAGAGCAGAAGACTGTGCTGCCGGGAGCTCAAGAGCTGAAGACTTTGCTACCGGTCTCTCGAGAGCAAAAGCGCGGGCACTCGTATCCCCAGATGCCGCCGCCGCCGATTTTCTGGTACGAGAATAGAGGAGGACCGCAGCGCCACCCAGAGTCAAGGAGATCAGACAAATTGCCACGACCACGCCAGCCACCACGCTGACGCTAACACCTCTCCTCGGTGGCATTTGGACATTCGCAGGCGGTGCAGACGTCGACAGCGCGTCAGACGACCTAGGACCGACACGTGTATTACTGCCATTGTGTAGCGGTGAAGACGACGAACCCATTGCTGGAGATGGATGTGTCTCCTGAGATCCATCAGTTAATGGTTCTGGCGAAGATGGCGATGGTGAAGATTCTGTCGACGGTTCTGATGATGATGGCGATGGAGTGACTCCCGTTGATCGTTCTGACGAGGATGGCGATGGAGAGGCTTCGGGTGCTGAGAGCGCATCGATGCATCGGTGCAGTCCTGACTTGTTGATTTGCAATTCGAACAGCTCCCCCGTCTGGATAGACACGTACAAATGACTGTCATCGTTGTCCAAAGCAAGCGTCCCGATGACGCATCCTCCCGGAACGATGCAGCTTGCCACTCTCTCCACCGAAGTCACCTCTCCTCTCGGTTTGGTGAAACCCACCCGCATGATCTCCGTCCCCCCATCTCCGACGAAGAACAGATTGCACCCATCTTGGGTCACCACGAGCTCCCTCAAGTTATATATAGCAAGGTGGTCGCTCGGTATAGCTCTCAGTCCGTTATTCTTATGATTAATTAAGTCCCCTATAGCGGTCCCAGTTACGCGGTCAATGCTTCCACTAACGAGGTTAAAACCTAAAATTTTTGCGTTAGCGTCGTCACTAGCGTATAGGTAGCTCCCATCTTGGAGAAAGCTCCGATGACCGAAGGACAGAGATGAAGCATTGGTGTCAGTAGGGCATGCTAGTGCCCTGAAATTGTCGAAAAAGCTTTCCGGCGACTCGCCATCCATGACGGAGTACTCAAGGCAGCCACGATTTCCCACGTACAGAATCGTGCGATTAGGATTGAATGCACCGAAGCAGCATCCAAAGTCGGCGATCGGAAAAGTGGTTCTGAAACCATCCACCGTGTTCACGAACCCCAGACCCCAATCGACGGGCGCCACCAGATGCCCCTCGCTCCGCGACAGATCGAAACCCCAGAAGTGAGCATATAATCCCTTCCCCTGGCTGGCGGCAGCACTAGCCGCAGTGCCGTTCAGACTTGCGAAAGACCACTGTAGAGTCACCACGGAGGAGTTGGCTTGCGCGACCCCAGAGAGGGCAATGCCGCGTAAATCGCCCTTGCGCAGAGACCGACCTCCTCTGACATACGCTCTTGAGGTGGTACCCCAGCAGCTATCGTGGTGCACGTAGAAGAACACCCCCCTCTCGGAGGTAAATACGACATCCCCGACCCATATGAAACAGTTAACGGTACCAGATGAACTGTATGCGGGGTTAGTAGCGATAAGAACCACGCGGTGATCCTGAAAAGCACCACTCAGGATGGAGAAAGCAGGCGGGGGGACTATCTGCAGCCTTTTCTCTCCTCACCTCTCTTCAATGTCGATGTGTGCGCTCTTCTTTCCCGTAACGGACTCCCTCCCTCTCTCCGTTGTCAAGCTCCCATCTGCTCCGACCACCGCTAGCACCCGTATAGGGATGACCATCATCGTCATCATCATCATCGTCATCACAGTCACCGTCAGCCTTGTCATCGAGATCCGGACGCGAAGCCACAGGGGATTGCGAGCTCCGACTATGGTGGCGCTACCTAGCACCCGGATCGGCCAGCGATAACGATCCAGTGGCACGAGGGAAGAGCGCAAGGCCCTTCGACAATAGGACGATGGAGAAGAGGCACGTGGACTCGAAAAGAAGATGTGTGAATGAACGGCATGACTAAGACTGGAAACAGAAACCAGGAAGGAACGACCCCGTCGGGCAGCCGTGATGCAGTATTTCCAGCACGTCGCCCACTCCCAGAGAAGAAGAAATAGGAACAAAAAGCAAAAAAACAAAAAAAAAAAGGGAGGCACGTGGAGGAGGACGCCCCGACGCTACAACTGCGAATGGTGATCTGATCGACTTGGAATAGATCTTAAAAAGCAGGGATGTGTTATCTGGCTCGGTGAATTCCGGCGAAACTTCATCTGCTATCTGCTTGTCCCCGTCTGGCCCACGACATGGCGTCAGCAGGCGATGCGTTAAGTGACCCCCGCGGAGAGGATACCAGCGAGACAACTTCGCACACGCTCGACACAGGTTCGACGTCCTGATGAAAGTCCGACGAAACAGTCCAGCAGACGGTCTCGTTCCACTACTCTAGGCTCTAGAAAAAATTCCAGAGTTGATCTAGAGCTGATCTAGAGTTGTCAGAGTCTAGAGCAGAGCAAATCTGGTGTCATCTCTCCACTAGAGAGAACTTTGTTTTCTTTTTCCTTCTATTTCTTTATTCGGAAACAGAGAAGAGACAAGCCTTGTGTTGTCACAGTAGAGGTCGTTGTAGGCACAGACATGAGGCACACTCACGATTTTCTAGGCGGGAACAAGGGACCAGCTGAGCACACTGGAAAAAACAGTCGTCGTCACAGGTAGGCACTCTAGACCGGTCTAGAGTGTGCAACCGTGGGTACCTCTGACAACTGTACGATACATTTTTCTAGACAGCCGTTCTAGAGTAAGTGGAGGGACCCTTTACTCTAGACAGTTTCTTGAGTAAATTCTGATAACTCTAGAACGAAATTCAGAGATCTGATTCCAAGAGTAAGGGCACGTACCAAAATACGGATGCCTGATTTGGGGATGTAGTGGCGGCGCCAGTCACACAGTGTCCCCAAACCACCCATTCCACGGTCGCGGTAGGTCGGCCAGTGCGAAATTAAGGAGGTAGCCAGTCACAGGGCGCCGACCCTTTTTCCCTCTACTGCTTTTTTTTTTTTTTTTTTTTCTTCGTTGTTCAGGGACTCTCTTCTCGCGTCTGACCGGCCGACGAGGTCACCCATTTGCCCAAATTCCTCATTTTCAATTGATATGGCGCCGATATCTTGCCATTCCATTTTCAAGTCATTTCTGAAAAAAAAAAAAAAAGAATAAGGAATTTGCAGTAACCTCCCGAGGTTACGCAAATTCGTGCACCCAGTAACCTCAAATTCGTGCACCCAGTGTGACTACCCCTCGACCCCATTTTTTGGGGATTTTGGGGAATATGCGGTTTTGGTACCGCAGTGTGAGCGTGCCCTAAGTGGAGCAATTCCCCACTCGAGATTTTTGTTGAGTCTAGAGTAGTGGAGCCATACCCAGAGTCGTACTTTTTCCCTGTCTGTAGCGACAGTGACAACACAGCGAATGGGGATGGTGAGGGTTGGAGCGGGGGGAGGAAGGGGGGCGGGGATGCAGGTGGGCCACGAGAGAGAGAGAGAGAGAGAGAGAGAGAGAGAGAGAGAGAGAGAGAGAGAGAGAGAGAGAGAGAGAGAGAGAGAGAGAGAGAGACTGTGATGCAGTGATAGTGGAAGCACAATCAATTTAAGGCCATGACTCCCAGGCAGCGTCCGTACACCGTCTTCAATCACTCTACCACGTGGTACTTACTTCCCGTCCGTGTTTCTACCCCGCACGCTTACATCACAGTGCATTCTTCCACCTATGACAGTAGTATTTCGGCAGCGGAGTTGGAGAGAGGGTGTGACGCACTGGGAAACTACCGCCCACCTATGGCATTGAGAAGCAGGACACGTCGCAGCTGATGGTTTGAGACTCCCAACACAGTCTTTCCCTCTAAGCCCCCTCTTCCTTTCTTTTCTTTCTCACTGAAAGCAAGGGCGGCGACAATGAGGTGCCATCATTGCCAACTCCTCGACGGCAACAAAGAGGTGCCATCATCGCCTACTCTTCGAACTGACCAGGCCCAGGTTATAAACAGTGATTTCTTTCATCTGATCCCAGGGGTATTTGAACAAATAGGGAAAATTGGTAGAAAGTGCCCATGGCAAAACCTTTTCCGTTTTGGGCACCCGAAGTTGGGCCATTGGTACTACCTGCCCACCGTTTGGTGCTACCAGCCCATTGTTTACCATGTGGGGTACTATAGGCCCACGCGTATAAGGATAGAATGAGGCCCATGTAGCGTTGATTCGCCGTTGAAGGATAGAATGATGGTACCGTCGAAGGATAGAATGAGGCCCATGTACCGTATTTTGAAAAATATGGTCGGTCAAATACCGAATTTTGAAAAAGATGGGCCCTACCGGTTCATGAACCTGGCACAAAAACAGCACCAAATTCATGAACCGGTACGAACAGGCCAAGGGAGCTGTGGCCACAGCGTGAAGGCGTCTTTTACCCAGCCTGAAGAGATATCGGCCGGCAGCACCAAACGGCCAAACTTTGAGCGCCAAAAACAGAAAAGTTTTTGCCATAAGCGCTTTCCACCAATTTTTTTAGTTGTATTTTTTTTGGGGATTTTCCACCAATTATCCCACCCTAATGAAGGTCTTTTCCGAACAAACATGTAGGGCATACTCACACCAGAACCTGATGACCTCGGGTTTTTTTTTTTTGGGGTAACTAGGCCGCTGTTACGATAATAGTTTAAAAATTCATTCGAAACACCCCTTTCGCAGTTCAGTCACGGCCCGACTTCAACATTCAGTTGAAACTCGGGCGGCTGCACAGGGCACAAACAGTAGTTTCCTTCAGCAGTTGAGTCATGCCACGTAGGCCGGTACAGTCCCGGCCGTGAGTGCCGTAAGAACCGGTACTTTTGTAAGTGGGTCCTTTCTTTTGTGTTACCGTTGCTCAAGGGGAACACTCCGGGTTGGAGGTGGCAAGGCGAACGGCCGACGCGAACCCGGTAAGTTTTTCCCGCCAATCCCCCCCCCCCCCTCTCTCTCTCTCTCTCTCTCCCTCTCTCTCTCTCTCTCTCTCTCTCTCTCTCTCTCTCTCCCCCATTCGCGCGCGCGCGCACGCGTCCCCCCTCCCCTCCCCCCCCCCCTTGGCGTTGTGCAAGAATCAAGCGCGGTGGCGCCATGGGGCGGGTGGACGCGCGCGCGCTCGCGCGGAAGAGAGAGAGAGAGAGAGAGAGAGAGAGAGAGAGAGAGAGTAGAGGGAGGTGGAAACGACGATGCTCGGGTGGTCTTCTTCCGCCGCCATGGACTCCTCGCGCGCGCGCGCGCGAGAGAGAGAGAGAGAGAGAGAGAGAGAGAGAGGGTTGAAACGACGGTCCCGGGTGGGCTTCAGCCATGGACTCCGCGCGCGCGCGCAAGACACAGAGAGAGAGAGAGAGAGAGAGAGAGAGAGAGAGAGAGAGAGAGAGAGAGCGAGAGAGAGAGAGAGACGGTGCCACAGTTGGCTTCTGCCGGCGCCATCGATTCCGTGAGTGTGTGCGCGCACGCGCGCTAGAAAGAGAGAGAGAGAGAGAGAGAGAGAGAGAGAGAGAGAGAGAGACAGAGAGAGAGGGCCCCACCGGTGTTTTCCCTCTGCCGTTGGGGCGGAATGCACACCTATCGGGAAAAAAACTAAAAAAAAAAAAAAAAAGATATTTAATATGCATATATACATATCGGAATATGTATATATACATATATACAATATACATAGATACGCATATTGATCTTTAATATGCATATATAAATATATAATATGCATATATCTAGGCTACCAGAGTGGCCCGGGCACACTTGCCCGGCTGGGCCAAATATATACTAGGCTACCAGCCGGGCCGCCCGGGTCCCGGGTGGCCAGCCCGTGCAAGGAGGTCCCAGCAAAAAAAAAAAAAAAAAAAAATCCAAAAAATCCGAAAACAAACTATGTTATGCAGAAAAATAAACGGAACAACTTTTGCCTCAGGGTAACATCGAAATTCTTCACCAAAATTAAAATAAAAAATAAAAAATAAAAATATATATATATATATCGTCAAATAGAACTGCCCGGTAAACCGTAGGCAGAGAGGGAGAAGAGGACAACAAACGAGAGGCTGTGACAAACTGTTTCGTCGGAGTTTATTGGCCCGGCCGGGCAAGTGACCCCAGGCCATTCTGGTAGCCTAGTATATATATATATATATATATATCGTCAAATAGAACTGCCCGGTAAACCGTAGGCAGAGAGGGAGAAGAGGACAACAAACGAGGGGCTGTGACAAACTGTTTCCTCGGAGTT